CTCATTCCCCATCCTTTTCAGAATCTGGCTTGAATTCTGGTTTTCTTTCTGTTGAGATGGACCGGATACTGAAGGCTGTAGTCCTTACGCTAAGGGGCTGGGATCGTGAGGCCACCTGAGGACCCTGCTCGCCCCCTCGGAAGGATGTGGTGTGAAGGCAAAGCACACAAACGGAGCACCGCATAGGGCCTGCCGCCCATTTTCTGTAGTCACCACTGAGAGCTGGGGTAAAGCGACGCCCGATTTTAGAGAGTCGCACCCAAAACGGAGGAAACGTTCGATGAACTTTCAGAGTCCCTCTGAAAGCTGAGGTAGAACGAAGTAGTGTGTTTCAGTCACACTGGAAACGGACGTAAAATTAAGTCCTATAGAATCACACCAAGGGTGAAACCAGACACTGGTTTCACCGTGCACAGGTGTGCAGTCCAAGTGTGTGTCTGCGCAAGAGCCCCGTGGTGAGAGAAGTCAGTCAGTGTCACTGGGGGGCGCAAACAGGGAGGAGAGGCAATGTGTCGGCCAAGTTCCGGGTTTTGAATGCACTTGTAGATTCCTGCGGCCCCAACTCTGCCTCCAATTAACAACATAACGGGGAGCCGGGAGAGGACCGGTGGAGAATGGTCCGGCCCAGCGATGGTGATGCTGCTTTCACGGACCTTCTGTGTCACTGAGCCCATTCTGACGCACCGGGACCCTCTGGGACACCTCCTGTGGCGGGGCAGAACTGCCCAGAGGGTTTCCCAGGTTGGAATCTCTATGGGGGCCCTGGTGACATTGTGGTGACCCGTCGGGCTGCAAACTGCAAGGTCAGCAGTTTGAAACCACCAGCTGCTCCTTGGGAGAAAGACAGGGGCTTCTACTCCGGGAAAGAGTGACAGTCTCAGAAAGTCACAGGGGAGGTTCTACCCTGTCCTGTAGGGGTCCCTGTGAGTCAGCCTCGACTAGGAGCAGGGAGTTGAGTGAGGGAATCGTTATGGGGGGCAGATGGCCTGGTGGAGTTGAACCCCCAACCTTTCAGCTCGCTGCGTAACCAGCGCACCACTAGGAGTCCTGTAGGCACCTTAATCCAAACCAACCCCCACGGCCATCGAGCCAATTCTAACCCACAGAGCCTCCTGCAGGAGAGAGTAGAACTCTGTTGGTTTGCTTATGAGAGGATACATCTTTAGGGAAGCAAACGGCCTCATCTTTCTCCCAAGCAGCAGCGGGTAGGCTCAAACCTCAGACTTTGCGGTCAGCTGCCCACTGTGCACGCACCTGAGGTTTTGGACTGTAAAGGTGGGTTTGTACAGCACTATCAGAGGTCCTCTGTTGCTCTGGGGGTGCCAGTCAACCATCCATGGACTGAGGTTGGGCCTTTGAGTGTCCCTCAGGGGCTGGCTGGTGTCGCTGGGGCCCGGAGTGGGTACTCCATCCCATGTCTGTTGGCTGGGCGAGCCTGGAAGGCCATGTTCATGGTGCTGTATCCTGTTTCCTCCCTCAGAAAATCGCCTTCATGGTAGCCCTGGGCCTGGTCACAACGGAACACTTGGAAGGTAAGGACGGATGAGGCCGGCAGGGCTGGGACTGACCCACCAGGTGGGTGACGGTGGGGACACAGGTGATAGGGGATGCTGCTGCTCCCGGCATCTACCTGGAGGTGTTTGGCATTAGAGAGAAGCGGCCAACCTCAGGAGGCCCCAGGTCAGATGGCAGTGCCCAAGTACAAGCCTCCCTCTGTGAGTTAGACTGGGTACATTAGAGAAACAAATCCACAGAAACTCATATGTATAAGGGAGAGTTTTCTATAAAGGGTAAGTGCACATCAAGAAAACATCCCAACCTAGTGCTGCCCAAGCCCACAAGTCCAACATTATCCCATATGTCCCACACC